TAAACTCCAAATACAGGTTAATTTTGTTTACCCACAGCTTTTCTTGTTAAATATTACAGTGAAGAGTCATAACTCATTTTAATAGTATCACTTAAAAGCTAATGGAGTACTAAATGTACCCTCTGGTACTACAGAATTTCAGTTTACCTTTCTTGGAAAAATTCTTGTTCTATTGCTGGCAAAATGTAAAACATCAGATCTACTGCCTACATGGCACTTAGCAACGACTAGTCACATTGATGACTATTCTGCAGCTCATCTGCCATCTATACAACCGTACAACCAAGGAACAAAAATTTTGGAATTGCAGTATTTTTAATATCTATTAAATATCCATCTTTTGTTTCCTAGAGACAACTCTGCCACTTGCATATTACTTCTATTTCTCAAGTTTGTAAGTTTGTTAAAGCAGCTCAAAAAAAAGGGGGGGCGGGGAACAAGAAAAGCAGCATAAGAGCATAGAAGAGAATCTTAACTTAATAAATTACTGAAAACTGTGAAGAAAGAGAAATGTGAAAGCCTGAAGTGAGGTATATGCATACATTCAAGTGTACCTCTTCCCTACCTTAAATCAGCTCATATATTTTTGGGGCACTACAGTCCATCCTAGAAAAGTTCTCTTCTGAAGTCTATATATAAACAGAAACTTAGAGAAAGTCAAGTTAAAAAAAAAAAAAAAAAAAAAAAAAGAGCTTTGCAAATAGCTCTTATCATGACCCTGACTACAGTCAATCTCACTGTTGTTTACCCAAATCCATAAGCTGGATCCCAGACCTGAGGAGGATTTGATGCCTTCACTGATGAGCCTTCCTGTTCTACTTTATCACTGAGGAGCTCTAGTGGGATCCACGTACTGACCCTGAAGTCATGGCACTCTGTGCTCAAGCACAAACAGGAGTGGATGAAAAAGGACCCCCATAACAACACGTCTTTATTACTACTGTTGTTGTTGTTACTATTATTATAAAGTGTTGGGGCCTTTCGTTCCAGAGTGTTCCCACGAACACTTGCATTTTCTTGAAGAATATTCAATGCCAGTTACACTAACTCGAGCACAGTTGTCATCAGCCAATGATGACACCAGTGCAAACATGGATCATTCTGAAAATGCCCATGAATCTCCATACACAACAAGTAGACAGAAACTCCGTTAAAACCATGCAATATTAAATCAGCTGTATGGGGAACTTTCCCACTCTGTTTTCAATTTGCTAGCACATTCTCTTCTCTCTGTCCTTCTAAAAATATATACCCTTCTAAACACTGGTAAACAGGCTTTATATAAGTTAAAAAGCCCACACTCCTCAGCATTAGAAGACTTTAGAGCAATCAGGCTCAGGTTTCAGCTTCTTCAATGACTGCCATAACAGCCGTTAAATATTCACTCTATGAAGTGTCATTTAGCAAATGGAAAACAAATATTTAAGCTTCATTAAATAAAGCAATTTTGTTTTTTCCAAGTGGACTACATTTTTTTTTACCAGACCCTGCCTTTGTGAGGCCAGCACTGAATTAAAACTAGAATATTGTTAAAAATATCGAGATCATATGAAAATACAGCCCTCATAAATAACAAAATGGAGTTAAAAATGCAAGACCCAATTACTTTCCAAATGTCAGGATGTTTTCAATCATGTGTCTTGCGTTTGAGTTTTCTGGGGACCTCAGAAACATGAGACGTATCTGACACGTTCCCTGGAGAAGAGAGCAAAAGCCATGACGTCTGACGATGATCACCTATGCAACATGTCAACTACTCACAGCACTGTGGTGCAATCCACAGAGGTCCTCAAAAGGAAAGGCAGAGGAGTTGATTGACACAGTTTCAGCTCACTGATCCATGCAGGGCCTTTAAAATTAGTACCAAATATATCAGAAGCGAAGTAATACACAGATTGAATCCACCTCAATATTCATGTTATCCTCCGCATACAATATGCAATCCCATGGGAGAAAAGAGCTCATCGAGCTGCTTGTATTTCAGCTCTATGACAGTTAATTTACTGTAGGTGAGTTCACTTTAAAAAATGAAAAAAAAACTACTGAAATAAGCTCTATTTTTTATATATCACTTTCAGTTATAAATTTTTGATTAACATTGGGTACTTGACTCCAGAACTTATTATTGTATATACTTGCATGGATAAAAATACAGACAGCCACTAAATTGCCAAATCTATTCCAGGTATATCTCTGAATATGGGCAGAGTTAAGAGTTCACAGACCATCGCAGACCAGCTATGCACATTAAGCAACTAAAAAAAAATGAAAATCTGTTTGAGAGATTGTATTTACTCAACAAATCCTCGTGGGTCTTGAGCCTGCTCCTTATCCAACTGTCCAACCGGGAGCTCAGCACTTTTATGTAACCTTCTCTTGAAAGCTGGAAAGCTTTCCCAATTTTCGTTCTTCTCATCTTTAATTTTAGGCCCAAAGCTTTATCATTGCACTGAACCAAATGTCCCTGATGTAATGGCTCTTTTGCCTAAATAAAGAATTCCAGACAGGGCCTTTTATTGCAAGTGCTCAGGTCATACCAGCAAGACCATCACAAAAACACTGAGAGCAATAAAACCTAAAGTGTTTCATTTCCCCTTACTTTCAGATAACTGTAAACAATGTTAAACAGTAGGATTTTCCCTTTTCAGAAAAAAAACCTTTGCTTTGAACATTGAAATTTGGTCTGAAGAATGCCTTTAAAGAGCTACTCTTAGCAGACATATTACATAAGGTAGCAGTTATTTAAAAGAAGAGGTTAAAACCAAGTTCAGTATTTAAAATTCAGTAAAATAACCCCTGCAACTCAGCAAAATATTCCAGCAGTTTTATGTAATTTATGCAAATAAGGATTGACTTCCATTAATGCAAAGACCACTAATGCATTCCACTCCAAAGTTTTCTCGAGAAAGATACGTCTGTGTTTTACTCATTTATTCATCTTGGATGCATCTTATAACTTCAAAAACACATCTGCTCTTTCTGACATTTTCTGTAATGTAGTTTGGGGAAAATACTGTGTTTCGAGGGGTGAAAGGACCTTGTTTTTGCATGGATTTCAAGACTGATGTTTGGCAATACCTCAAGCAATAAGCAAGGAAAATAAAGTTGCCCCTATCCACAACTGCCTTTCCTTCCAAACTTAGCAAAGTGTTATCCATGAGGCAGAACAAGAGCTGCACAGCACTGCTGATCTTACTGATTTCTAGGCTCAGTTTTTGAAGCTGAACTGGCTATCCAGACATTTTTGCTTGAGCAGTTCTAGTCAAAGGCAGGTGCTCTAGCTCTTTTCCAGTCACTCTAAATGAAGTTTCACATGTAATTCTGCATACAAAACAAAGAAACAAGAGCTTGAAACAATATATATTTGTTTGTTCAGTAAAAATGTAAGTTCAGAGAAGCAACTGAGCATTCTCACCAAAATAGGCTAATTGAATGTTTGAAATCAAGCTTTATAATAATAATTTAAAAAAAAAAATTAGGAGTGACTGCTATTATTTATTTTTCCTAAAGTTCTGATAATTATTTTTAAAACAGATATGCAAACCTACAGGTTTCTAACCGCCAAGAGTCAAAAAGCCTCATAATTTTAACACATTTTATCTAGCAAGCCTGTTTTTTTAAATAATTGACTTTATATGGATGCAATATATCAAAGAGAACATGTAACATATTTCAGTTGTCACTTATGAAAAACACTTATTACATTTTGAAGGGTTTTTAAAATGCAGTATCTGCAAATTCATTAGTTTTCCTGCATTCCTGAAACATCGGGGAGGCATCTCAGTCACTGATTTGAAATAACTCCTACACAATCTTTTTTTAGAAGCAAAAATGTTAGAGGCTAAATAGCTACAATAAAACATTCCAACGTTAAAAGTGGCACTTTTAACATTGATCCTCTGTAGACTTTAATTAAAGATTGAAAAATTCTTAGAAAATGAACCATCCTTTTTTTTTTTTTCTTTTAATTTTAAGGATTGAGGATGCTTCAAAAGCTGCAAAACACACTACATTACCAACCATAATTATAACTCGATGGCTAGAAATGCCAAGACAGAGTAACTGAAAACATATGCCATATGCCTGAAATTTTAAAGATGATGAAACTGTCACATTAGTAGCATGCAGCATGTTGCAAAGAACTCCTACAATGTAGCAGTTGTTCAAAAAGTTGTGTCCATCCGGCCAGTCTATCTTTATAAGAAGATACATAATACTGGATGGTGATTTATTCTGAACACAGCTGCAGCCTAGATTAGAGGTAATATATAGATGTGTGTATGTATATGCATAAAACTTTTTAAATTACAGTTTTAATGCCACACCTGTATCTGCAGAATAAGAGGAAAATATTCCCTGAAGTGTAATTTTTATTCCCGTTGCGCTTTCCTTGCGGGAAGGGAGAAGGGGGCAGGTGAGGCACCAGGAGCTGCAGGACCTGCTCCAACACACGCTTCCTCTTGCAGGGGAACAGCGACCCGCGGGATCACGGTGCCGGGCTCCGTTGCCCCGCACAGGGGCCGGGGGGGGCTCCGGCCCGGCCGCCCCGCACCGCGACGCGAGACCGCGGCCACGCGTGTCGCTCCCTGCCCAGCCGCACAGGCTGCCCCCAACTTTCATCGCGGGGGGACTCCTCGCGCCCGCCCCCTCGCTTTTGGGGGCAAAATGACCCCTTTCCGCACCGACAGCGCCTGGGGACATCCCCCCCTCTTCGAGGAGGTTCCCCCTGGCCCTGTGACCATGGCGGGTCGCCAGCCGCCCCCACGAGCAACAAAGGCTCGCAGGCTGCGCCGGGCGCTGCTGCCTCGCCCGGTGGCGCGGACCCGACGGGCTCCGCTCTCCTTCCCCCTCGGAAAAAAAAAAGGCTCCCCGGACGAAGCGCGCGGGGAGATGGCGATGCCCAACGCGGAGAGGAGGAGGAGGAGCAGGAGGATGGGGAGTGGGCGCGGGGTGCCCGCACCTGCGGAGGGGCGCGGCGGGCGCGGCGCGTTGCCGCTCACCTTTCATCCAGTCCACGACCTGGCTCGGCGACCACTTGCTCACGGGCTCCATGATGAGGGCCATGGGGCTGCGCGGGGCTGCGCGGGCCGTGCCGAGCCGCAGGGCGCTCCGCCGGGCCGCGCCGCTGCCCCGACGAGGGGGGAGGAGAAGCCGCTAAATCCCCGCTGCGCCCCGCGCCGCTCCGCTCCGCTCCGCTCGCCGACTCTGCTGCGTCTCCGGGGATTTCAGTTCATGTTGCCGGCTCGGCAGAGAGGAGGAGGAGGAAGAGGAGGAAGGGGGAGGAGGCGGCTGCTCGCTCCGGCGCTCCCGCCCACGCGGAGCCCCGCGCGGGCGGCTGCTGCGGCTGCTGCTGCTGCTGCGCGCCCCGCGGCAGGTCGTGAGGGCCGCGCTGCAGCGGCTGAGCGCGGCGGCTCCGCGCCTCTCCGCGCCCGCGGCTGCGGCGCGAGGCGCTTTTTCTCCCGGCGGAAATGACGAGGCGGCTCCCGCCACCCGAAAATATCTCCAAGTGCAATGGAAAGCGACACGCGAGGGCCGCCCGGGGCGGGAGGAAGGAGGAGGGGAGGGGGGAAGGCGGGATGAGTGGCAAGGTGCCTCCCGCGGGGAGGGCGCGGGGAAGGCGGCGGTGGCAGCACCCAGCACCCAGCACCTGCTGCCGCCCGCGCTGCTGCCGCCGCTGCCCGCGCCGGCGGGGGACACCGGGGAGCGGGGGCGTGCGGGGGCGTGCGGGGCTGGCGAGGACAGCCGCGGTGCGCTGGAGAGCGGTGGGAGGATTTCTTCTTTTTTTCTTTTTTTTTTTTTTCTCTCTCTCCCCCTCCCCCTACCTCTCCGAGAGGAGCATCTCTGAGAGGGCTGGAAAGGTTTTTGTTTGTTTGTTTGTTTTCAGAAAATCCCCGGTGTCAAAGGGGTAGGCTGGTCAGTTCCTCCGGTGTTGGACAGTGGGGCCCCGGCCTCAGGCTGCTGCCCCTCTCGGCTGGTAACAGGGCGTGGGAGGGTGAGGGAAGCTGCAAAAATAACTGTTGGAATCAGGGCAGGAGCCTGGCAGTGCTGAGAGGGAGAGGGCTCCATGTGACACTCCTCTGCCTGTCCCACCCACGTGGAGTCATATCCTCAGTCATATAGGGTACCTGTGGGGACAATCACTGCTCGCCTGTGCAGGGAGCAGAACATGGAGCATCTCCTCCTTGGCGTGTCCCTCTGGGCTGCACTGTCCTCAAGGAGGGAAGGTTTGGCCAGGGGGCAATTCCCACACCACAGCGACTGTCCCAAGGATCCCCACCAAGGCAACCATGAGGCTCCTGGGGGTGCCTTCTCCAACCCCCTTCCTAGGAGCTACCACTTGGAGGAGGGGGCAGCCCTTGTAGAGCTACAGCCAGAGGAATAGGCTGGCTAAAGAGTGCTTTGCTGCTCGCCGTTTTGCTCACTCGCATTTGCATTCCCTCTGTATCCCCCGCCAAGACTGAGCCCACATAGATGTTCCCATAGATGTTCCCTCTCACTGTGCTGGCTGCACAACGCCAGCTGCTGATGCTGACATTTAATATCTGTAAGTGAGAAAAAAGAGGCTTCCCTCGGCTGTGGAGCAGCAACATCAATGGCACGGTGGCCAAGCAGACACTCCCCATCCAGCCTGTGGGAATGTAGCCCTCGCAATCGTCCTGCCTAGAAACCCAGGAAGATTGTCCCTGCGGTCACCTGGAGCAGCATTATTTACACCCCGCCCCTCACTTTCAAGGTCTTATTTGTCATTTATCAGCAAGAGAAACTTCTTTTTAATGAGAAGAGGGACTCTAGTGCTGCAGCTCTCCGAGATGTGGCTCTTGTGTCGTGTCCCTGCCAGCTCACGGATGGCACAGTTCACTTCTAAGGAGGCTTCATTACGTGAAGCCACAGCAGCAATAACTGGCACTTGCAAATTAGTGTTGGTTCTTTTCTTTTCCCCTTTCTTTTCTTTATGAAAGATTTGAAAGGTATGCAGGATCTGTATACGTGGGGTGTTTTTTGTTAGTGTTGGAAAAGTGTGTCAGCATTTTAATTAGAAACTAGTATTTTGAAAGGCTTAGAATAGCCAAGATCAGACTGAAACCTGGCATATAATCTGTAATGCCATTCTCCTATTGAAAAATTCCTCATGGGTGAGGAGAGGGGAAGTAATAAGTCCTGAATGCCCATGTATAAAGCCATGTAAAGTCCTATAGCTCATAATTACAGGCTATACCACGATACCTATAGTTTTCCAGACTAATTGTACCTAGAGGTAGTTTCTGAATAAAGCATATGCAGTCCACTCTGTTAGCAGTGGTCAGTACCACTTGACAGTGCTTCTAAAGAATTGCAGAACAATTAAAGTTTGCTGCCTTGCCTCAGTAAACAGCTGATGTGTTGAAGTGTATCTAACTACCTTTATATTTTTTTCATTGAGTGTAGCACTTGCATAAACACTGTGCTATATCCCACTGTTTTACTCATGCAAATATTCTTATTTCAAGGAGTCACTGAGGAGTGTTGACTTGGCTAAAATTAGGAGGATTTGGCCCATTATGAGCAATCATAAAGTTATCCAGCCATAGCATTTAACTTAATGTTACAAAATGAATTCTATAGCCAGGACATGTGCTACATAAAAGTTTTTCTTTTTTTTTTTTTTTTTTAATTTGCTCTAAATTTATTGCTGCCTGATTTTATTATTGTTCTCTCTTTCTAGGGTAAGAAGTCAAAGGAAGGGCTGAATGATTTTTTGTGCTGACCTTCTTAAACTAAAGTGTCTCAGCCAAAATGCCTTAACCAAAGCCTTTCAGATGTTTTCATCTTTCTGTTTAGTGGCCCTCATTTTGCAGTCACACCTGCATGAGTCAGGCCTTTTATGTAAAACATATGGGATAGGCTTCTGCACAGATGCTGAGCTGCAGAATTATGCCTAACTCATGTTTTATAATTACTCTAGTGCATGTAATACATTAAGAATTACTTTGTTTTTTAAAAAAAAAATATAAAAAAATTATTATGTAGTAGGTATAAAAGTAGCTACCTAGTAAAATCCAATATTCAAAGAAAAATTGAAAGCACGGGAATGTGTTTAAGCCTGAAGTACAAGCTTGAACTCCAGAGACGATTCTACTTTGACCTCAGTTCTCCACACGTCCATGGACATGGAGATGTGCCAGCCCCAAGGAGTAAGTTTAAGTGCACAGCACTTGCTGGCTTACAGGAGAAGGGGCTGCCCTGTTGTTTGGCAATGCTACGCTGCCAAAACCAAAACTCCCTAGAGCCCTGCTTAATGACTGGCAATCACAGCTGATACCACAAAACAAATTGTCTGAAGAGTGTTAATACGCTTTTTGTGGCTATTTAATCAATAGGACAGCTCCTGAAGCAGAGCGCTACTCAGCCTAACAGTGGCAGGGTTAGATCCAAACTCTAATATGGGGGTATGTTGAGCACCCCAGTAAGTAAATTTTCACATGTCCTCAGTTTTTATTCAGAGAACAGAAAATATTCTCTACTTTTTCTGCCTCCATTTTATGTTTTTATCTAGCTGGAATGAAGCAACAAAAAAACAAAAGTTAAGAGTAGGCACTCTTAGCATGATTTATTTACATGAAGCCAGACGCTAGCATGGCTACAAGTGATAGATACAAGTGTACCCCTGGATTTCTAAGCAACATCATGGATCCTCTGCTGGAGTCTCTAAAAAACATGCAAAATGGTCAGTAATTATAAGTTGAATTTCTTCCCTGAATTCAGGGAAAATAATTCATCTTTTGAAAGATTTTTTTTCAGGTGTTGGTTATAAAAATGAATCCTTGTATGGCAAGGATGGTGAAAACAAGTGGAAAACTAACAGTAATTAACACTGGGACCTAATAAGCCATTGGATAAAACATCAATAACAGCAAAATCTGAAAAAAAAAAAAAAAAGATCAAGTCAAGAAAGCTTGTACTTGGTTAAGAAATAAATTCTCGCTTTTTTTTTTTTTTTTTTTCTCTCTCACAAGGCACACAATCTAGGGAAGGTGTTTCCCTATTTAATAAGAACTGAAGAACTGATCTTACCCATGCATAATTCTCAGCACACACCACAAGCATCTGGTTTGGATCCTTTAACATATATTACTAGACAGTATTTTATTCCGATTCTTGGATCAGTGTGTTAAGGCAAGTTGCTAAGTCCTTGAAGAGAGACATGGGATTTGTTCCTTGCCCAGGAAGACTTCCATCTGTCCACTTTTCTCTAGAGTCTTTTTGCCTTCTCAGTCTTGTCTGAGCTGATTTCTACCAAATGCAAGGTTTGCTGTTCCTGCCAGGGCAGGAGCTATCCAAAGAGAAGCGGGAATGGGCATCAAGACCTTGAGACTTTGGTGACTCCATGAAGTTTGGGTGACAGGGTGAGTCTGAAGAGAGCTATGGAGCTCTGGGAGAGAAGGAGAACTTTGGGGCATCAAGGGCAAGTTTTGTGGGAAGAAACCCACCACTGCTTATGGTTCTGTGCCAAAAACTCTTGGGATTTAAGGATACAGGCAGAAATTAGCATAAATTCCTGCTGACCCTTTTTACTTGGTGCTGCAGCGGCACAAAGGCACAAACATGACCCAGTGCTGTGTCTGAGGTGTGCTGAAGTGGGTCTGTATGTCTTACTTTTGTAATAAGCAGCTGCTCACTCCTTGCAGTTGGCTGTCACCACATGTTGGCTGGTAGAAGTTATCCCCGCAATAAAGAAGTGACAGTGACACTTATTCTGGGGTCTATGTCTATATCTCTTTGTTTTCTCATTTCTCATAATCACCTCTATCAACCTTCTTGAAAGCACAGGTGTTTTAAATTAGCATTTCCAGTACAAACGTTTTTCCCTTCAAGTATATGCCTTACCACTCTGATGGTTTAACTTGACATATTTTTTTTTTAATTTGTGAAATTGATATTTTTTGTATAGTTAGAAACACAAATCATAATCCCTGAAGATATTTAATAATTTGAACTATTTAGAACTCAATTAAGGCCATTAAGAGATTAGAAATTAGATTAAAGGTGGCCGAAGGGTAAAAATTCAAGGACTTCAAACACCTTTTATAATACAAAGGATCTAACAAAATGAATAGGCTGAAA